AGGTCTAAGTGTGTGATACTAGGCCGGCATGAATTATTAATCCTTTTAGCAGACAGATGATTTGGAGGGGCTTCCACTCAAGCACCTTCCCGAGTTTCCAGTGACACCATTATTCGGTCAAGCCTGTTAATTTGAGACCTCAGTCTGATCGGGTTGATGAGGGTGCAGCATTGGGCGCAGACGCTAAATATACATGCAGGCGCGGAGGTTTATTGACCAGTAAGCTATGCATGCATCAGAATGGAACCATAAGACAAACCGAGACCCCCCCTGTCGGCGCAAGCCCCTGCAGGATCTCCGTTTTAAGGAGGAAACTCTGGTTCTTCTCAGGCAGGAAATGAACTGTCAGAGGGCTCTAAGTGGCCGTGGACTGACACCTGGACTCCACTCCAAGTGCTTGAAAAAGAGCGCTCTTCGGCCTGTCTGCATCAAGCGTGGCCCAGAGGACTGCACCATAAACCATCTCCTTTTTTATTCTTTTAATTTACAGCCAAAGTCGTGCTCCGTGGTTGGATGTAATGTCAGACTCCAGCGCACTGAGGAGTATATTTCAAAATGCCTGGCTTCTGTATGAACTTAAATGCTACTTTGAAAAGATCTGGTGTGCCGGCAGCAGCGTGCATGTCTGTCTCTCTTAATGGTGACCACAGAGTGTGTGTGTGTGTGTGTGTGTATGCGCTCTGGTAATAAGCACAATTTTTTCAGCAGCTCATCCATGAATTCACGCTTTCATCGTTCATAATCTTTTCCATTGTCCTCCTAAAAACACCAGGAAAAGGGATCTACGCAGTATGATATCCCATTCATTATCTCACGAAATGCAAAACAAATGGATTTTGCTCAAGTTTGCACATCAAGTGCTCATTATCTGTCGAAAAAAAAGGGAATTCAAGACCTGTGAATGAACAAGTGGTGCTCGACATCCTTATCTGCCAATAAGGAATTAAACCGTTTCTTTGTCTTTCCCGAAAATGCTTAAACGTCTCCCACATCGGTTCATGAGAAGGGCTGAGTTAAGAGGCCCTTAGAGAAGAAAGGGAGTCTTTCAGTTTTTCTTCTCCAATTTCCTCTCTCTCCTTCTTCCCACTTGTGAAGTGTCACTTTGCTATCGGACCTCGAGCCCTGATTGCTCGGGGTCGAGTGAACCTTGTTGATCAGTGGAAAAGAGAGCATGGTGAGGCGTAGAGTGGAGGCTCTGTGTGAATATTCCCGAAATAGGATTATTATTATTCGGTTTATTCATCTGTGAGCTATTTGTACGCTGTTCGGCGTACGCTGATGTTTTGGGTGGCGTTACCTCCCAGAAGAGTCTCGAAGCCACAGACGCATGCCTGCTTGATCTTTAACCACACCCTACCCCGATAGAAACAAAATGTCCTCTGATTTGTCTGTATTCAAATGCGCAAACCCTAATTTGGGATTCAAATGCTTTTCATCACCCAGACATGTGAGACAATTGAAAACCTTTTTGTATCGAGTAGAAAAAATCGACCGAGGCGAGGCAAATAGCTTTTCGCTTTTGTCTACGCGCAAAACTAGTCATTTTGTCAGGGATGCTGTGACACAGGCGGCTCAGCGGCAGCCCGTTATCATCAAATCAAACGTGACAGGAGGGAGTTGGAGGCATCAGACAGAAATAACCCGTTTCCTGCCTCCCGTTTAGCCATTCCGGGCAGGATGAAGTCTCTTTAAAACAGAGGCCAAAGGGCCACTCGGCCGGTTCCCATCTGATGCTGCCGGTGACAAGGGGGCCTCTGCTTTCTGTCTTATCATCGATTTTGGCATGTCTTTAAACTTGGAGATATCCTCCACGGACAAAGGTTCAGAGAGGCGCAAAGAAAACAGCAAACACGATATGGAGGCAGAAGCGAGCGGAGGAGTTATTTACTGTACTACTTACATTTTAGACAGTCAGACCCTGTGGACTTACTTTTGTCTAAAGGGAGCAGGGTGCTGTTTGCAGTTTAATTCTGGCACACGTTACCCTTAAGGGCTCTCTAACAGGCTTCTCTCACTTGAGGTTGAAGCATCGAGAAGTGCTCCACTCAACCCCCCCCTCCCCATCCCTTCCTCCTCCTCCTCCTCTATCTGTCCCCTCTCCACCCTGCCCCCATCCCCGCCCCTCTGCCCTGACCACTGCCCTGCTCACCCCTCCACTCAGGGACAATGGCTCACTTTGAAAGAAAGGCAGGAAAAAAGAGGAGGCCGGTGTCACCGAATTGCCTGTTTGCCGACGGAATCTTTAAAAGCAGCACCTCATAAATCAAAAAAGAACATAATAGGCATTGTTTCTCCAAGAGATACTTGTCCCACTAAAATTCCCCCTCTTATTCTCTCCATTCTCTCCTCCTACCTTTTTTTCCAGCTTCTTTGGCAGCTAAAGTGAGCAAAGTCAGAGGTGGAGTTTTTTTTTTTATAAGGGAAGGGGGGCCTTTTCTTTTGGATTTGGCGCTTTTTTCTGGGTTTCCTAGTTTCTTTCTTTCTGTCTTGCTGTTTGACCATCCCCTTGTTTTATGTTTCTGCAACCACACCCACCGCCCCCCCCCACAACTCTGGATATTACAAAAAGGATTCCCCGAGCTTGGATCAGCATAATCTATCACTATGCAGGTTGTAACTCAGGCCTCCACCCTATCTCCGAGCAGCATTGTCATGTTGAAATCGGATTAGACGGGGAGCCAATTGCCTCTTGAGTTTGGCGCTGGAATCTTTTTTGTATGTTGGCACAAGGAATGACAAAAAGCTTGCAGGCACTATGACCATTGTGCATCGAGAGAATGACGAACGGCGCGCAGTATAAGTCAAGCATGTTTAATTTATACTCGTTGAAGATATTCAAGAGGCTCTGTATAAACAGTTTTGGAGTTGTGGTGCGTCAACTTCAATGCATTTTTATATCCAGAAATTGTTTGTCAGATCCGTCATGCTCCTGCGTAAAACCATATGCAGTATTTGTTTTGGTTTTCTGTAGTCTATTAATGAGCTTCTGGGAGCAGACTTGCGTTCACCCCTCTGATGTGTCAGCAATCAGGATGATGTTATCATAATTAGATCACAGGTGCCGCATTAGGATTACACACAAATCTGCCGACACCATTTCCATAAAGCATTCTAATGCTTTTGCCTACGTTACCCCGGGTATTTTCCCCTTTTTCTCTCTCTCTCGAGTTTCCATTTTCACGGGGAGATCCTCGCTCACATATATGTGCATTGACACAGAGCTGATGTTGCGTAAATAAACCATGAGCCAGACGGACATGAACTAGATTCCAGCGTTTTTCATTGTAGAAGCCGAAGCTCTGGGGAGGAATCGCCGGCCTCCGGGGTTGCACGGAAAGCGTCCCGCGTTGTAGTTTCGGCATTTTTTTTTACCCCTCGGTTTGTGAACGTATTGTGTAGGATTACAAGAGATTTTGAATGGGATCTGCTTCTACAGTCTTGTCAACACAATGGCATATCAGTGTTCGAGCCTTAACAACAAAGGCAGGCTCGGTGGTGCAACAGAAATCTTATCTGCCAGAGTGTGTTCACCCCGATAGATCAGTACGCTCAGTTATCTCTCCCTTTCTCTGTCGTTTTTAAATGCTCGAAGCAGCTTTTTTTTTTTTAAACAGGATTTTGGTGCATCCCTCTGATTTATTTACGTCTTGTGTGTCGGAGATTGCCTCTTTTACTGACGGCAAAGCTGTTTTCAGGTTGGACATGTGGCGCGCACCAGGTGAGGCGTCTGAGTGTGCGGGGTCAGGAAGCCCCGCCCACCCTCTTCATAAGAATTCTGCTGACAATGACCCGCTCTATTCTCACATTACACTGGCTTTGTGTTAGGCAGCCAGAAGTGTAAAGTCAGTTTGATGTTGGGTTCCGACTGACAATCAAAGCTTTGTCAATTAAGGTTTAGAGGAGTTCAGGGTTTGCCGTGCTTGTGCGAAGAAGGCTTTCATTTAACGGTCCCGCATTTCAAACCCGTTCCATCTGTCGAGAACAAGAACCATGTTTGATCCCGTGTAGATCACACAGGACGGTTTTTCTTCCTGCTCCAGCCAAATAGGGAAAGTGATACACTTCTCAATGCCAGTCAAACCGCTCTTATCGCCTCCACCATAATCTAGAGACTCTGTGGTTGGCCACCAGTTCTGAAACCCAATGCGGAGACATCAGAGGACATTCTCTTTTCGTCCCACACCAGTTCCTGTGAGCATCACTTGACTTTATGTCTGCATATCTGTATAAGGCTCATTGACGAGCCTTCTCCAAAAAATTTCAAACCACTCTTATATATAAAGAATAAAATCATTTTGTAGAAAGCCTCTTTCAGCATTCTTTTAATGTTTTGATGTCATGAGGGTTTAATGTTGGGTGGGGCACCACAGTACTGCAATGACTGAGTCAGCAAGGCCGATTTGGTTTCGATGAGGGAGGGAGGATTTTAATTGAGTCTGACCACTTTAGAACATTACATACAGCAGTGAAGTTTAGGCAAAGGCGAGCGGGGGGCTTATATTTCAGCTAATACGATTAATATCTGCCATGACTTTCTCCATAAAAACCTGGTGAGGTTGCTAAAAAGCACAACCTTTGTTTGTATGTATAAAAACTGTTCAAAAGTAGTACTATTACTCAGACCCGGCCTAGTTCTACTTATTGATAAGGATGTATTGACAAAAATCTGCTTTTTAATCCCATATATGGTTAGACTGGAGCACTGCCTATTCAGAAATTCCTGTAAAAGCACCACTGTGTTTAGGCAGTAAATAATAGTTTTCTGTTTTTTGTTCAGATTGAGATATCTTGTGAGCGACTGAGCTTGTTGATGTTGGAGAGCTGCCTGCACTAATAGGTTTTCAAGCTCTATAATAAGGCTAAACGAGCTCAGAGAGTCATTGATTGCGGAACGCAGTACACTCCATCAACTTGATTACATTATGCAAGACCTTTTCTCCGCTTTACCCTTCTCTTAACCTTCTTTTCTCCTCCTTTTTCTTTTTTTTCTTCTTCTTCAGGGAGCTGATGCCGAAGACCCTGGAGGGCCAGATCACCATGGAGAAAACGCCCAGCTACTTCGTGACCAGAGAGGCTCCGGCCAGGATCTCGGCCATGTCCAGGGACACCAAGCTGATCGTGGTGGTGCGGGACCCGGTCACCAGGGCCATCTCCGACTACACGCAGACGCTGTCCAAGAAGCCCGACATTCCCTCTTTCGAGAGCCTGACCTTCAAAAACAGGACTACGGGGCTCATCGACACCTCGTGGAGCGCCATCCAGATCGGCATCTACGCCAAGCACCTGGACAACTGGCTGCAGTACTTCCCCTCCGAGCAGATCCTGTTCGTGAGCGGCGAGCGGCTGATCAGCGACCCGGCCGGAGAGCTGGGCCGCGTGCAGGACTTCCTGGGCCTCAAGAGGATCATCACCGACAAACACTTCTACTTCAACCAGACCAAGGGGTTCCCGTGCCTGAAGAAGGCCGAGGGCAGCAGCAAGCCGCACTGCCTGGGCAAAACCAAAGGCCGGACCCACCCCAACATCCACCCCGAGGTGGTGCAGAGGCTGCGGGACTTCTACCGGCCCTTCAACATGAAGTTCTACCAGATGACAGGACATAACTTTGGTTGGGAGTGATGTGGAGTTTTTTTTTTTTTTAACTGAAAAACATTTTTTAATTTTTGTCAATTCGTTGAGATTTTTTTTTTCTCTGTAATTCAATGGCAAGATGTGAATATGTATACATGTGTATATATATATATATATATATATACACATGTATACATACACACGTATATGTAAAATGTACAGAAATCTATTTTATAATAATTTATTTTTATTTTTAAGCAATTAATTCACTAAGCTGCCTAACCATATTTGTATATAACATCTGACCCAAATGTTGTTTTTAACATTCCTCATCTTAGGTTTGAAATCTCTTGCTCCGCTCATGTGGTCCTGTAAACTCAGTGGATTTACCGGTGCTCCATAATGCAGATAATCAAGAATGACTGTAACAGAAACTAGGGTGAAAAATGTAAAAGCACCATATTACGGGTACAGCGTGCTCACAGAGAAGTGGAGAAGACCCATCCGTGTGCGTCCTCAGTTATATTTGCCTCATAACTTTATCCGTAAGCTCTTCAAACTCGTCCTGTCTGTGATTCTTTTTAATCAGATGTGTCGCATCCTTTTTTTAAAATCCAGCTTTCATGCACGCCCTTAGCGCAAGCGGCAGATTTCATGTCCCATTCCACTCAATAACCAGTTGATCAATAGGCCTAATTGTTACTCATTGTGTCACTCATGCTTAAAGCATACAGCTGCCCTTTCATTCTCGGCGTTCCTGCTGCCTGCTTTAATGAATGACCCATCCATCAAACGCTAAATCCCATCTCCTACCACGTAAGGGCACATGTTAACATTATGGTAATCGGGTAAAGGTAACGGGCAGATCGATCGATCGGGCCTCCGCTCTCCAGCTCCCCGTCAGGAGCTGAGTCCGCTCGGTTCAGAGGTCCTGCAAAGTCTCAATCAAATTGCCTTGAGAAACATTTGATTTGTCGAGGAGAGCTGAGAGCGGGTCAGTGGCAGTGTGTGCCTTGTTTGAGACGGCAGCAGGGGCATATCTACCCACAACGGAGTGGAAAAATAAAAAAAGATGACAGCTAATGGCCCCCTTTTCAAAGAGAAAAAGTCCACCAGGCCTCCTCCCCCCCACCCCGTCTGAGATTGCAGACTAAAGAGATAAAAAGCAACAGGAGAAGGTTTTCGCGAGGCGTTCACAGCACAGCAAAGACGAGCCTCGGGGCAGGAACTCAGTTTCTAACCTCTGGTGTCATCAGAAAACCTCACGTGCCATCATGCATGGCCTCTATACTTTATGCCTTACACACCTTTATCCGTCCTCACCTTTCACATCTCCACATCAGATCTTCAATCTCTACTTGTTGCCAAAAAAAAAAAAAGGAAAGAAAAATAATATGAAGAAAAAAAAATACGACTTTGGATTAATATCATGTTTCACACAGCTTGGTCTCTTCTTGTGCTCCCCCGCCTCTCAGTTTTTCTGTTTCTACTTGAATTCTTGATATGCAAGTGGGAGAGGTTTGGTTATCATTCTTTGATGTGATGTCTCTGCAGTGTGTGGCACGCCACTCTAAGGACACAGGGCGGCGTTTGCTGGATTCTGTGCTACACTATGCTATGCATGCTCAGCTTGGTGTCCATTATGGAGATCCGGACATAATGGGAAAGGATTATCATTATCCAGAGAAGGGTTTTGGTGTGTTTATGTGGAGCCCAAACTGAATGTACACAAGCTATCCTCACATGGCGTCTTTCAGATCAGTTTGAAAGGTCACATGGCCGCTTTGGCGCCGCGTTCAACCGCTCCCTTTTTTGCGTTTAGAAATATTGTGCCTCTTTAACTGTCCAATTCAAAACAAGAAGCCAGTTCTTATCAGTAAAAGAGAAAACTAATCCTTGCTATTTCTCTGATTTTCCTGCTAAGCCCCAAACTAATGGTTGCTAGCAGGGGAGATGGAGGATGTTACACTGTATTTTATTATTATTTTTTTTTATAATGGTATCCTTTCACTTCTCTGCCTGAGCGATGATGCTCCAAGGGGTATTTTGTGAGGAGGAAGCTTTCATCTCCCCGTCTCCCCTTGGTGCAATCTAAAAAGCATTTATTGATGACTTCTCTGAACAAGCTGGGAAAGTCAGACATTTTCCTTGAAACTAATGGGAGTATTGCATTAGAATTTTGTCCACGCTCATGTAACTGAGGGGGTATCTGGAAGAAAATAATTTAAAAAGCATTAAAAAAAGAAACTTGCACTCATGGTTTTACTCCGTGTGGCTGCATCGGCTATGGTTGAGTTTTATTCAACCTGTTTTGAGATCTAAGAAATGATGAAAATGTTTGTCTTATCCACATATAATATGTATTTAGACTAGCAGATACGTATGTACAAACATGAAAATGACATGTAAATCAAATATTTTGTTGTATGTACATCAAAGGAATTAATTTTACACAGCGCAAGAGCAAAATGGAACAGATGTTTCTAGATGATTAAACGATGAGCATTCATAATATTTCTTTGTAAGAAGAAATAAATAAAGTATCTATTTTACCAAATGTTTTTTGCATTGGCTTTTTATTTCCATGATTTATTTCAAAGCTTTTGCCATTTGAATGGCTTTTGAAAAACTAAAAGGAACTTTCCTCTTTATAAATGCATTCTACGGAATGCATTGAGGTTCAATTTAGTGAAAGAAAAAACCTCAAAATCTATGACAAGGCCATTTTCTTCCACACTGGGGAAAAATATGTCCCCACCTGCTGGAGGATGTTCTTTCAGATGGCTTTTTTCTACTTGTCAACTGACTATTTTTGGTTTTGTGAACCATAAAGGACTTGTAATTAATGACACATGGAGGAAAGTCTATTTTTAAATCACTCAGTTGAGAGGAAATACACTGGAACCAACTTAATTCCCATTTCTGATAAAACACCTGCCTTTTTTAATGTGAGTGATTATAGATCTGGTACACTTGACCGGTTGGCAGGACAACAGAAGAGTGGAAACAATAAAGATGATTACTAAAGTATTACAACAGCGTGGCAAAAGATGGCTTTTGTTTCCAATCAGCTATTTGAAATGCAGTACAAATAAAATGGGGAGGATGTCAAAACTAAAGGCAAAATGCCTCTGTGATGAAAAAAAACACTGCAAAGAAATAGAAAATATCACTCAGACCTAAGCAGAAGAAAACAATGTAACATAGGGCCACAAACAAGCAGAAATGGACTGTGGCTGATTGGATGAAAGTCACAGTCTGTAATGAATCACCAATGTGCACTGGACGAGGAAATGATCCTAGAAGATGAGGCTGGAAATGCACATTTCCACAGTCGTTAATGGTATGGGGTTGATGTCAGGCAAAGAGGCGGGGGATGCCAGTCATTTTCTCTATGCATGCATAAGGAGAACAGAAAAAGTCTTTCCAAAGGGGAAAGAGGGAAAAATCATTCCTTCAGCAGAGAATTAAAGGTGGGGCCAAACATTCTAAATCCAATGGGCATTCTTAAAGATTACAAGATGTGTTGTGCCAAGTTTTCTAGCAGGACACTTTTACTGAGTTCAGAAATTAATTCAAACTATATCAACTTATTCATGGTTTCAACAATGAATTCAATTATATGTTTTTAATGTAATTTGGATGTTTTACTAGGAAAATTCTAATTAAATTGAAAATGTTAGGGATCTTCATGTCTAAGTGAACAATCCAATTCCATGTTTTGTCTCAGAGTTTGGTCTAATATCTTTTATCATTTATGCTCTCATGCTTTATGTCTCTCTGCCCATTATCACAGAGAAAAGTTTCACAGTGTGCCATCGATGTTTACACTTCCCATAAAGCATGAAAAAGCTAATGGACCGCGGTGTGAGTGAGTGGCGTGGGCCGGCTCTCTCTCTGGAGTGGTTGCAAAAAATGTTTCTGGCCAATTATTTGTTTTTCTGTTTTCCTGCTTAGTGTGGCACTGCGGTTGTGGAAGTGGGGGGTCTTCGGGGTTTCATTTGACCCAAAGCTGCGTGGGAGGTTGGGCCGCTGGTGGCGGTGGCTCAGCCTGCTTATCGGAAATGCCCACACCCTCACTCCCCGTAAAAGCAACCAGTGTTTCCTCATTGCTCCTAATGAGACACGCCCCCCCACCCCCCACCCCCAGGGCTGTTTGTGTACAAGCCTCTGAAACCCTTCTCTGTATTAACAGGGCGTTCATTCACAATATCAGAGGTGATGTGTTTATGAACCTGTCCGCACGCAGAGATGTTGACATCAGACTATGTGCCAACTGTTTTCGGTTTGCTCAGCATTTTGCATATTCGCATTCCTCTTCATGTCCCAACAGCTAAACATCACACTGAATTACAGTTGCAGAGTTTTACATTTGACTGTTAGCTTATCTTATATCTACATGCAGATTCTGGTTCTTCAGAGGCACGATAGGGCCAATTATTCATTTGCATTTTTTTGCTACATTGCAGGTATAATTTCTGCACACCAGTTTAAAATATTTTAAAGAGTTTTAACTTGCAACTGATGCAGTAAGGTGAAATCAGGAACTCATTTAAGATGCTCTCATAACACAAAAATCCAATATAAATGATTTCATATAGCGTAATTTAAGCAGTTTCTGCCTTTGCTGCTTCACAGCTCTGTCTATATTCTGCATTATTTGTTTTTGTTTGCCAGTTGAGGAAGTAGGTTACAAGGCTGATGTTTAAAGTTAAAGTTAGCTGAGAGTCATTGTTTTCACTTTGCGATCTCATGGGTATAGATGCTCTATATCGAACGGCTTCATCCTCCTGGTTATTTGTGTGTTTCTGCGTGGCTGCTGAAACAAAGACAACAAAGGACCCCTGCTGCATCACACTATTAAAACCTTTGCTTATTAAAAAACAAAACAATGAAGACTTAGAAAGTTAACATGTTTGTGAAGTAACTAAAAGGAAACTTTATACATCAGTTGTATATTTGCTTTGTAGCGGCAGCTTCCGATTGAATTAAACACATTTTAAAGAAATCAAACTTCCTTTCTAGATTTAAAGTCCCTTTTTTAGTGG